TAAATCTTGCCTTCCCATTATAGTAATAAAACACTTTTTCAGGAATCATTGCTCGTATTAGTTTCCCACTCCTACGAACATTCGTGTCTTTGCACAACTGCTTTCACCACCAACATTCACATTTACTACTTAAATCAAGATTTCTCCCAATAATTTAGTCCGTTCTCCTATTCAAACCTAGAGTATGTCTATGCAGAGAATGCATCCACTATACTTGCTTGTTTTATGCTGACCACAAGCAATTGCGCCCATATTTAATTAATTCCCTACTTATTCTGATCAATTTTTACAATTCAGAATATAGGATTTATTTACAGTTTTATTTCTTTAGCCCACTTTGTTGTTCCCATTGCATTTGAGTTTGCTGCAGGTTTTCATTTTTACAGCTCAGCATTCTAATTTCAGCTTCCCACAGGCGATAATAAAGGCATGTTCTTTTATAGAGTTGATCTTGTTTTTCTTACTTGCACCAAAAATTGTCCCTCATGTAAACGTTTCCTTTATAATGCCTTTTAATCTCTCCTAATCGTATCTGTGACACACAAAATCCACAAGCTCTCGTGTATGTGCAGCATGTCCCCTCAATACTGATGTGCATGCCAGCCACAGGTTTTGGCAACAGGTGATTATTGTTAACAGGAAGAGGGAATTGCATGAATGTATTCAAATACTGCTCCTTCCCTTATGCTGGATCCTTTGACTAAATTCACTACCTTAGTAGAGGAAGCCTTACTTACAAGCATCCTTATATAGTAAATCATATATAGTTATATGATTTACGACCACAATTGAGCCCAAAATTTATGTTGCTAAGTGAAAAATTTGTTAAGTGAGTTTAACACATTTTATGACTTTTCTTGCCACTGTTGTTAAGTGATTCATTACATTTGTTATGTTAGTAACATTGTTAAGTGGATATGGCTTCTACATTGACTTTGCTTGTCAGAAGGCTGCAAAAGCTAATCATGTGACCCCAGGACACTGCAACTGTCATAAATATAAACCAGTTGCCAAGCATTTTAATTTTGAACATGTGAGCATGGGGGATGCTGCAATGGTCATACACCAGTCATAAGTCATATTTTTCACTGCCTTTGTAACTTTGAATGGTCATTAAATGATCTGTGATGACCCAGAGTGTAACACAAATGTAACAAAATCCAAATGTAAATAAATGTCCTTTAATGCTTCCAATTTGCCCCCACTGTTCAATAATACTCAGTTGGAGATACATCGTACTCAAAAATAGTCTTCAAAAGAAAGCAATGCATTCCGAATTTGATGAGCAGATAGAGGTGAAATAAAAAACCAAACAAACTACAATGATGAAATTTCCACAACGGAATAAGAGAAGTATTTACCAAATTCAAGGAGATAATAAGGCACAGTCTGTTGGAAGGACGCCAACCAAGATAACTTCAGACCAAAATAAAACACACTTTGTTTCCAGCATTTGCCAATATGCAGGTCCAAACGCTTATTCAGTTGTCGCACCTGCATCCCATGAAAAGGATCAAGGCCCTCTTCTCCAGAGGAGACCACGTCTTTCTTTTATCCTCTCCTCCCTGCATGCCCTAGGATGGATAGAGGATGGGCCTGGGTCCTCCTCTGACTGCTCAGCTGGTCTCTGCCCCTCCCCAGCCTCCTCCACAACCTCCGGAGCCACACTTCCACTCCCTGTCAGCTGTTCCTCCTCTCCTTCAGAGTCAGTCTCCACCAGGGGCATGACATGATCTGTCGTAAGTTGAGGACTACCTTTTATACACATACCTCCATATTTATGTTGAACAGAATTCAGTTCTCACAAGACATTGTCTGGGTTAAAAAAAAGTGCAGTATCTATGTTGATATGATGTGCTATGCTCCAGACAGGTAAACCATATTATATAATTTAATGTGTTGATGATTGGACAATGTGAATGATGACACCCAGCCCATGAACATGCTCAGTTGGAGAATCTGGTTTATGAGACACCTGGGGAGAAGAGGGGAAATAGAGTCACAGGTGACTGTAAATTACATATGCCAGAGTTGGCTTCAGAGGGCAGTGCCAATATGTCACCTCTAATAAATCCTTTGCAGTTTTTTGAAGTTTGGCTCGAAAATCATGATTTAATTAGGGCGAATGTTGGAATCCTGACAGCCTGGTTCATACAATACGCTCTTAATAACTGGGTTACCTAATGTGATGAACAACAAACTGCCTAATTCGTTTAGCCATTCATGTAAACCCAGCCACTGTGTGAAGTAGGTGGGACTAGGCAATACATTATAGAGAGACAATTTTATGGTGTCTCCATGAACTGAACAACTCAAGACAACTCTTGTCTATTATAATAATGATAAAAAGGATAGTCCCAGCAATATTTCTGAATATGATTTGTACGTCTGAAGAGTTTCCAAATTGTGAACTTTTCAAACTAGCGATCTTCCTATGGCCATCTCGTATATTTCCCATATACTGAATGTTACACTATTCAACAAATGTTTGCTACATTTAATATATTTGCGATGTGTTTACAAGCTTTTGACAATATAACCTTTGTCTGCTTGACAAACTGATTCTTATTTTTATTGCTGAAGTCATCTTGTCAATCACCTGACTTGCTCAGCCAATAGCCAACATTTGCTATATTCTCTTTTTGTGCTAAGAAGGTTGGCATGCATTTACAAATTGTCCCCTAAATTACTAGGTTTTGAAAATAACTGAGGGCAGGGCTATATTTTGCTACAGTTTCCATTTTCCTTTCTTTATGTAATCCGATTCCAAAGATGAATGGCCTGTATTTTTGTTATTTCATACTGAAGCTCAGTAATTTGACCATATTTGGCCCAATTACTAAATATAAAGCTTATTACTGAAAGAACTATTTATGGAATGAAGAATCCACAACTTCATTTTTTTTAATTCATGGGGGGAAATACTATATTGGATAGTCAAGGTGAGAAAACCTTAAAAGAACAAAATTGATTCTTGACAAAAATCTGTCACAGAGATGATGGCCCACTAGAAGCTGACCATTACAAGAACATTCTCCTTCTAAAATACTATTGATCAAGGAAATTAAAAACTATCACCTTCAAAGAATTACTATAACTGCAGCCCTAACATTATTCATTTCTTCAAAAGAAACATTCCAATTAATGTAAGAAGAGGTGTGTCTATCCCGCAGGGCATCTTTCATAGCTGTTTATTTTTAATGGATTATCCAAATGAATGACAAGATATTTGCATTTCTGCACTCAGCTCTCATTAATATAATTAATGCAGTCTACATTTTGTCACCCCATATTCATAAGGAGCTGTGAAAAAAGGCTGGTTACCACTACAGGAACCTCTTAGAAAATGATAATACTACCACTCTTAAAAAATGATAACACATGGAAATAGAATAATTTTACTAAGGGCATGCAAAAGATTTATTCATACTCAGAGCTGTTTAATTTTTCCTGTTAAAAAATAATTACCATCTGGGAAAAAGCAAAGTTATATACTGATATATCTTGCTATTTCTATGCCAGAATTATCAGCTGCATGTGATGTCACTGAAGTTCTGGTTAACCTGTTCACTTCTTTAGTGGTAGTGGTGTGTGTGTGTGTGTGTGTGTGTGTGTGTGAGAGAGAGAGAGAGAGAGAGAGAGAGAGAGAGAGAGAGAGAGAGAGAAGAATATGAATGTGAGTATCCCCTAGCAATTCATTAAGTAATTTATCTGATCCTATGTAGCATTTTGGATATGCAATATCCAGGTTGACTCCTTAGAAAGCATTTATTTCTTCCATGACAACATCGACATAACATAACGAAGGATATAAATTAGAGATGACTTTTTCATTCTCTTGGAAATAGATCTTCCAGATGTTGGAACTGCAGAGATGAAACCATTCCCATGGTTAGATTATTATGCTCCTATGGAATTTTACACTCTTCCATTAACACATTTCTGCATTTCCATTGATGACTGGGAAGAAAATTTTTCTCTATATATTACTCCTGTTACTGTCAAACTTTCATATTTTATGGCCATAAATTTATGTAACAAATTTGTTTTTATAATTCTCTAAAGAAGGAATAAGGAAATTCCCAACATCCCTGGAAATATGGCCAGTGGAGAAAATGCAAGTTCTGTCTAAAAAGGGAGGTTAATATCAGGAGTGCCATAAATTGTCTATTTCTGTCTTCGTTCCTCTTTCCCAAACCTGATAGATGAGATGATTTGGGGGAAGGGGGGCACCTAAAATTAGTAGATAACTGATTGTTGAATTTTTTAAAAAAATTGTATTCTTCTGACACATCTTTGACACAATTTGTATTAAGGGATAACTCAGGAACTAGACAGTATTTTTTAAAAAAGGTTGTGGGTTCTTCTCATTCCATTCAAAGAGAACAATTATAGATTCATTTCCTTGAAGATTTCATACATAGTACCATCCTTTCTGACCCCAGTTCTAATGAAAATAATTTTTTAGATATACATGAAGGTTTTCAGATATGCATAAGGATTGGACCAGCCTATGAAGTCCAATCTTATTTTTGGTTTGCTAGCAAAAAACTTTTCCTCTTGTCTGCAGGTTTGACATTCTCCCACTAACTAAAGAAAATAAATGGTCCTCCCTCCACATCTGGACTGGCAAAACAGACCACATATACAGTATGTTGGCCATAGGTAACATTGACTATATCCATTTCCAAAGAAATGATACTATAATAATACTACAATCTTCATGCTCATTGCATATTATAATAACACATTATCTGCAAGATAATCAGAAGACTGTTTAGAGATAACAAAAATCCTTTGTATGTTCTTCAAAGAAGAGAAATTTCCTAACTGTAAGAAATGCACAGCAAAGCTGTATCAATACAATGACAGGAGGGAGTGGAAAACTGAATATCCCAGTAAGCACGCATAATGCTTGATGGGCATGAAAACGGAGGAAGAACATTCCACTGATGTTCTCTCCACAATACATTTTTCAGTTCTACTCCTACACCATAAACCTGACCTTGAAAGAAGCACCCCAAGGTAAAAGTTGATGGTTCAATAGCTTATTTGTAGCCCAGACATGTACGGGAGAGATAATTTATAGGCTTTCATATTTTTTTAATGTTCATTCCAGAATGCTAATTTTGCTATGGGGGACATGGAACATTTTTTGCTGTCAGCTGAGATCAAGCCTATAGTGTGGGCATGTCAGAAAGATAATTAGGTTAAAATGGTGAGATGCTCTAAGAAGCACAGGTATACAGTTCACTCACACATTCTTTAGGGCAACACATCATTCAATCACCAGCAGTGGAAATAAGCTAATTGGGAAAAAGACACATTTATGATACACACACACAGACACACACAGACACCATTCTCAAAGGTGAATGCAAAGAGAGTCATAGAAGAGAGTCATATCTCCAGGCTAATTGCTGTGATATTTGGGAATTTATTTGAGATGAAAATGAGAAATAAAAAGATTTGGAAAAAATTATTTGGGGAGTAGGGGTTGCAGTAGTAGAAGTTCAGAATAGTAGCAGGGTCCAAAGCTAAAATGCACCAAGGCCAAATCTTTCTCCTTTTTGAAGCTGAAAGTTCTCAGATGCAAATGTTTGTTTCACACTGGACTATGCTCCTTTTTTAATATGATGAAAAAAATGAATGCTTTATCCCCATATTTAAATGATATTTTAAATAAAGCCACTCCACTTTCTAGCCATGTTTCCTTCATGACAAGATATCATGTTATGCAGAACTATTTTTTGCCTGATGCCTCTTGAATTCAAAAAGCTGCAAATTAAATCAAGTGATAACAATTCAGGGAACTGGGGCAGTTCACAGACCTGTGAGAATTTGATATGTAACATCTGAAACTCTTTCAAATATTTTGTTTTTAGGTGCCATGGAAGATACTATGCAACTTTCCCAGCTAGAGCAACTTTAAAACATTTGCCCTATAAACATAGGAGAAGTAAGAACTCCATAATAATTAACATATCAAAAAATTATACAGATTCTAGATCAGGGGTGTCCAACCTTTCGCCTTCCCAGGGCCACATTAGAAGATGAAAATTTGGTTTGGGCCGCACATAAAATAAAATAACAGTAACGATACCTGATCATCCCCCAAAACCATAGAAAACATAGTTAACTTATTAAATTTATTTGGAAATGAAGTTAGTGAGATGTTTTTATTTTTTATTATTTATTATTTATTAAAAATTATTTATTTTTTATCACGGTTTTTTTATCACAGTTTATTTTCCAGCCAAATTTTGGGGGAGGGGGGAGAAAGCTCGCCCGCCTCATGCCTACCTCTCCTCCTGCAAATGGCCCGGTTGGATGAGGCAGGACTGGAAGGCAGAAGCAGCAGCAGCGGCGGCGGGGGCAGAAGCCTTCCCCCGCCACCGCTGCTGCTTCTGCCCCTGCTGCCCCCGCCGCCGCTGCCCCCGCCGCCGCTTCTTCCCCCGCCACCGCTGCTGCTTCTTCCCCCACCGCCGCTTCTTCCCCCGCCCCCGCTGCTGCTTCTGCCCCCGCTGCTGCTTCTTCCCCCGCCGCCGCTTCTTCCCCTGCCACCGCTGCTGCTTCTGCCCCTGCCGCCCCCGCCACTTCTGCCCCTGCCGCCACCCCCGCCACCGCCAGTTCTTCCCCTGCCACCACCGCCGCTTCTGCCCCTGCTGCGGGGGCAGCGGCGGCGGGGGCAGAAGCAGCAGCAGTGGCGGGGGCAGAAGCGGCGGGGGTGGCGGCGGCGGGGGTGGCGGCGGCGGCAGAAGCGATGGCGGCAGCGGGGGCAGAAGCGGCAGTGGCAGCAGCGGCAGCGGGGGCAGAAGCGGCGGCGGTGCCGGCGGTGGCAACAGCAGGAGGTGGCGCTCTGACGGCGCCTGCCTTTTCTCTTGCTGCTTGGCCTGGCGCTCGCCTCGCCCCGCCTCGTGCCTGCCTCTCCTCCTCCTCGCTGGCTCTGGCACGAAGGTTGGGGTGGGCACTGGGCCGCATTACGAGGCGACCTGGGCTGCATGCGGCCCGTGGGCCGCGGGTTGGACAAGCCTGTTCTAGATGGTTAGCTGTCTGTGGCTGATTATCCCAGGGCTTGACAAAGTCATAGAACAAAAACTCAAAATATGCATGAAGGGAACGTGTACATTTGTATAATAAATTGTACAAAATGAAATGAACATATAAGAAATAAATAGTGTATAAATAGTATAATGCAAAGTGAAGTACACCTCAGGATAATACTGAAACACGATGATCAAACTGCATGCAAAGAGATCTTGAGGCATATCTTTTGGACAGTGAAGTGCAGCTTCCTGATGCTACAATTATCTGCAAAAAATGCAAACATTCTTAAAATCAATAACAACAAAAAACTCTTTCCCTAAGCCTATTCTGTTGTTATCTGAACTATCCCCAACCATACCATGCTAAACTGTCAGATGAGAAATAGCTATACAGTAATAGGTATTTGTGGCCTTTCAAGCAATGGCTGAACCACATCTCCCAGCATTCCATTGGCCATGTTAACGGGTATTGCTGGAAGTTGGAATTCAGCTATCCTTTAGTGCCTGAAACAGCAAGTGAATAGTTTAATGACTTTGCTTGTGTACTTGTCTTTAGCGACATATATACCCATGATTCTGGTTATTAATTATGATCACTAAGTCCTTCCTTGTTTTCTTTTTCTCCCTTTTCCTCTTTCCTCCTCCTCCTTTTATAAAGAATATTTTACTAGCATGTTTGGAGAAAATATTATAATTATGAAAAAAACCACAACATCTTTCCATTTGGAAAATCATTATGGTGTTATATAAATGTGCAGATCAGAGGAAGATATTAAATAACTATAAATAAGATTATAAAGAGGATTACATCAACAGACTATTTAACACAGAAGCATTTCTGGCCCAATGTCAACTTCTCAATCAAGAATTTTAATATTTGTTTGTTTGTTTAGTCAAGAGCTTACAATATAACAGAAACAAGAACAAACATAAGTTTAAATACAAGAAATAGGAACTAATAATTGAGGACAATAGGACAGGGACAGTAGACATGATTGTGCGCTTATTCACGCTAAGACTTGTGAGGCTCAAAAGCTAAACCAATCTAATCTCAACTGGACTCAAATGTCAAATGTTTCAGAATTTACCAACTGTTTTTTCCAGCTCCAGTCTTTCAGTCAAATTACATCTGTTGTCTACCTGTCAAGACTGGGAACTATTCATCAGGATACAAAATCCTTTGGTGGATCTGGTAAATAGTTGATGCATGCTATAAGCCTTATAGCACATTCAATAATTTAGACATTGCCTGGGTTATCTAATCAGCAGCAGCAGCAGAAACAGAACCCTGAATATACGTGCTGTTTTACAGTATCCTGATCCAAAGAGCTTACCATCTGAGGTAAAAAAAAATGGAGGGTAAAGCAGAAACAACTTGAGATAAATATGAGCAAATGCAGCTCCACATTTTTTGAATTCATGGTGTTTGGAGTGAAAGACATTAGGATTAAGGATGAGCTTCACTGAGAATTTAGTTAATCTCCTCATCCACTAACCTTTCTTTTTTCAGCTTGTTGCCATTTTTATTTTCCATTGAAAGTGTTTCTCCTTTCCCCTTGAACCACCTGAGAATACGTGCCAGAACAAGCCTTGCTTGCAAATTCTGGCAAAGAATGTCCCTGATACTGCTAAAGGAATAAACTGGAGAATCCAGCCTACTTCGATCAGCCTAGATTGTGTCCCTTTCTTGCCAAAAGCAAGAAGGAAAGCTACAATCTACTGGGAGAGGGAAGTGGACGAAAACAACAAAGAGGGACTTTCCAGGACCCCGGGGGGGGGGGGACAAAATAAACAGAGAGAAGACAAACTATTGATTGGATTTCATTTCTTTTCTTTTTGATGCAGATGGAGAAATTAGAAAAAGCAATTTTTTTAAAAAAAATCACTTGGGAGAAACACTTTCAGATGGAAATAAAGAGTAACAATTACATTCTCAAATAAGTTATGCTGAAATCAATTTGTACCTTCAGTGAATGTAAGTTCCATTTTTAAAAAAAAGGACACAGAGAGACAATTTTGGAGAGAAAATATATGGATATTTTCCAACAGTCTATGGCCTCTCCTTCATTTGACCAAGAGGACTTTATTTAGTGAACTAAATATTTTATAGGCTTTTTAGTTTTTCCATCTACAACCCAAGGTGCACACAATTACCCATACCTTTTAAGCTGAGATTGCATATTTCTGTTTTACATTTTTATAAGGGTTTTTTTTTCTTAATTTAATAGAAGTAGCCAGACTAGTGCGGTAGTTAAGGACTCAGACTAAAACATGGGAGACTGTGGGATCTACTCTTTTTAGGTATGAAGTCAGCTGCTAGACAACTTGGGCACAGTCTTTCTATACTTTTTTTCTTCTTCTCACAAGATCTAGTACAAAAAAAGTACGTGCTAAACAAGTCATATGAAAACAAGATGTGGAAAAAAAGAATTAAAAAAAAACATTAAAGTAAAAAAAAGCAATGCAAAATAAAAAGGAACTAAATAAAAACAAAAGAAAAAAAGAGAATGCAAATAGAAAAACAGAAATATAGATATATAGTTTTTACACCAATCCAGTGTAATTTTCAAGGGATCACATAAATAGAATTTTGAAACTGGTTTCACTACCTATTTATTTATTTATTTCTGAGGCAGGGACTTTACTAATGACTTAAAATGTCCTCTATAGTCTCCTAAAAATAATTTTGTCAATATAATGGTGGTAAGGAACAACACCTAAGACCACGAATACTAGCAGTATTAGTATGATCACAGTTGGTCCACACTCTATTCAATTTTGGTCATTATACTATAGGGAGGATGTTGGGGCTCTGGAGGGGGTGCAAAGAAGAGCAACCAGGATGGTTGGGGGACTGGAGGCTAAAATATATGAAGAACATTTGTAGGATCTGCGCATGGCTAGTCTAGTGAAGAAAAGGACCAGGGAAGACATGATACATTCCAATGTTTGAAGGGCTGCCACAGAGAGGAGGGAGTCAAGCTATTTTCCAAAGCACCTGAAGGCCAGACAAGGAATAATGGATAGAAACTGATCAAGGGGAGATTCAACCTGGAAATAAGGAGAAATTTTCTGACAGTGAGACCAATCAACCAATGGAGCAGCTTACCTTCAGAAGTTGTGGTAGCTTCATCACTAAAAGCTTTCAAGAAGAGACTGGGCTGCCATCTGTCAGAAATTTGGTGGGCGATTGAACTAGATGACCTCTAAGGTTTACTTCCAACTCTGTTATTTTGCTGTTATTGTCTTGTTCTTCCAGCTCTAAGAGGAAAGAGGCAATGGCAAATCTGAAACTTTAAACTGCAGGCAATGGCTCAGAGTCAAAACTGACTTAAAGGACGATTTTCCCTTTCCTTTCCTTTCCTTTCCTTTCCTTTCCTTTCCTTTCCTTTCC